CCAGCCCCACTCCTGCTGCGCTGCACTGCCAGCGTGTGGCCCCCTGGACTCATCCTGCACTGCCAGCCCACAGCAAGATGAGCTGGAAGGGTGCTGGCCCCGCACCACTCCTCGTTCTTCTCCCCACACCTCCCAGCTCTCCAGAATCAGAGTGCACCCTCCCCGAGCAGAGCAGGGCCTGGGGGCTTCGAGAGCAGGGCCTGGGGGCTCCGTGCACCCACAGCTTGCAGGAGGGACAGGAAGGTGTCAGTCAAAGCTCCAGGAAAGGCTCGAGGTGGCAGCTGCCCTGTGGACACTGCGAGGAAGCCCCGGCCTCCTGAGAGCACCCGTCTTCCCCAGGGCTGCTGCCACATGGGACTGGGCCCAGCGGGTGCCCCAAACCCTCCCCGGGGTGCCCCAGGGGTGTGCCCGTGCCCCAGGAGTGTGCAGAAGTGTGACTGTGCCCCAGGGGTGTGCCCGTGCCCAGCTGCCTTACCGCTGTACGAGTCCTGCTGCCTGCTGAGCTCAGGGAGAGAGCTGGGCTGTGACGGGAGCGTGACGTGGTTGTGGAGCATGCTGGGGTTGCTGGACAACCCGTCTTCAGGGTGACCTCCTGCCACCTACAGCAGGACAAGCAGAGCAAGCCTTGAAGGGGGGAAGTGTCACAGCCGAGCGCCCTCCTGGCACACCCACCACCCTGCTCCAGCACCAGCTCTCCCCCAGGGACAGGGGTGGGGGCACAGCTGAGAGCAGCTCCGTGCCCTGCACATCAGCTGGACCGAGCAGAAAGCCCCATCAGTGTGTCACCCCCAGCATGGAAGAGCCTCCCTGCCCGGATCTGAGGCTGGCACACCACAGAGGACACCCTGCCTGGGCTGCACCCCTGTCTCCACCAGGCACCACCAATTCCGCTACCTCCCCAGTGCCACCAGGGCAAGGGACACCCCAGCAGCATGAACCCCACTCTGAAGGGTCTGGGTGCAGAAGGTGAGAGGCAGGGTGCATGCATCCCCCCAAGGCTGAACCATGGGGACCTGGCAGGACAGAGCCAGCCCTGCTGCAAACTCCCTTCTGCAGGTGGCAGCAGCTCACAACAGGAGACAGGGATGAGGTTCAGAGTTAGAAGGGCCTGGGGAGCTCAGGAGGGGAGCACGTCTGGTTCTCTGGAGCCTGAGACGTGTTACTGCTGGTGGCAGCAGGCAACCAGCTGTGCCAAAAACCTGCTCCTGTGGTCACCAGCCCCTGGGCGTGGGGGGACTCTGGTGACCCAGTGTGGGATCCCACCATCCCTGTCTGGGACCAGGACGTGGGACCTGCCCCAGCGCTTCGGAGCAGGGAGGTCCTGGCAAGATCTGTCTGTCTGTACCCATGGTCCTGCCCTGCACCAGATCCCTCTCCTCCTCCCTCCATCCCCCAGGGACAGCTTGAAGCCACTTTGAGGGATTTCCACCCACACTGCAGGGCATGAAGAAGAACTTCCAGCAACTCTGCCTGCCCCAGGAAGAGGCAGGAGTGAGCTGCACGTGGGGCTTGTGCCCAAGAGCCACCACTGTGCTGAGCGTGGATTCCAGCCCCTGCACGAGCACAGCCAGATGCTCTGAGCCAGCTCCAGGCACGTCCCCCCAACGCTGACCCCAGCTGGACCACGCTGAGCTACCCCCACACCGAGTCCCTCTGGCTACTGGGGCATCCCAAGACCTAATTCCCCGGCGTGTCCCCTGCCCCGTCGCTTCCACACTCACCAGGCTCGGGTGCCTGTTGCCCAGGGACATGACCGAGGGGGGGAAGGCCTGGCCCAGGCTGCCCACGGTGGTGCTGTGAGCTGGTGCTGAGCCCAGGAGCCCGTGCATGTCCCCGTGGCTGCCCGGCAGGGTGGCTGTCTGGCCCACGGCGTGGTTCCTCAGCACGTGGATGGCTTCGTCCAACCTGTCTTCCATTTTGTTTTGCTTGAAAGACAGGACAGAGAAATGGGGCTGGGTTAACGTGGGCAAAGCCAGCAGCCTGTGGTGGATCACAGAATCACTCTGGTTGGAAAGGACCTCTAGGACCATCAAGTCCAACCTTCATCCCAACATCTCCCTAACCACTAGACCTCAAGTGCTACATCTACTTGTTTTCTGAACCCCTCCAGGGATGGTGACTCCACCCCCACCCTGGGACAGCCCGTTCCAGTGCCCCACCACTCTCTCACCGAAGAATTTCTTCCTAATAACCAGGCACTCAGCAAGGCAGGTATGGGGAGAAATAACTCCTGACCCAGCCAGAGCCTCCCCCTAAAAGCACAAGGGTTCACTCAAGTGGAACTGGTGAGGAAAGGGAGGCAGAAACCAGCCAGAAATCTGTGTGGCTGGGCCAGATCCCCAGGGCTGTGCCTCTGCCAGCCGGGCTCTGGGCTCCGGGGAGCAGTGCCCAGCTCTGCTCAGCTGCTTCCCACCACACGTCCCTCTGCTGACTGAGCAGCTTCCTTCATACCACGGCACTTCAGGGGAGAAGAAGTGACCCAGAAGCCCTTTACCACCAGGCACAGGGGTCGGAGGAGGAAAGGAGGAGGCAGATCTTGGGTGGCACTTACTAAAGTGTGGAGGCTCCCTTCGTAGCTGGGAGATAAGGCACCACCCTGTCCACTCGCCCGCGACCACTGCGATGTGCCTGCGAACAAACGGGCACAGCTTGGCACCGGGCAC